CCTATCAGCACGCATAAATCTGATGCACTGTTACTGTTCTCACACATTTGCTCACATCCATCATGATATCCCGAAATCAGTGCTGGAGGTTCTGTTGTGTCGGCAGTGGCCTTACCCCCACAGGTTGCCGATTTCAGTTTTCCGGAAGCGAACTTCGGGGATATCACCTTGGGGAACTTGAAAATGTGCGCGAGCTTGGTGATCTATACCACAGGGGCACTGTTGAATGGGGCTGATGCTGCTGTGCGGAGTGAAAGCTTTGGCGCGTTGACAAGTACTCCTGGATTACGGAAGGGCATTCTCCGTTTCGTGGGCAGGGAGCATTTACAAAGAAACCACGAAGTCTTGCTCGATGGTATTCGCACATTCGGTACAAGTGGCCAGCTTCACCACAATGATAGCACAGCGGGATTCGGTCGGCAGTGCGCCATATGTGTGCCTTCCGGACTCTCGTCTGTGGGGATCTGAGGCGCGCCCGCGACCATTTTCGCGGGCATTCCGCCACACGGCCACACCCTTTTGCTTCCCTGCTCTGTTAACATCACGTGGCGATAGATGGCGCCACGCGCGGGCACGGCGCGCGCCACTGCGCGCGCCGAGGGAGCGTCTCTCTTCTCCGTTGGTCGGCGCCGGGTAAGCACGTGTTTTCCTTCGTCCACGTCCCCTTTGGGAATCGCCGGACTGCAGCCTGCCTGGGGTGGCCTTGGGCACCTCGGCAGGCGTGTTTACTTGAGTGCTAGCTTCGGTAGCGTACGCTAAGCCCACAGCGGTGCCTAGTGCTTGAAGTGGTCGTACCACAACGAGCCGCACTTGCCGTAGGCCCAGCGCGTACGAGGTTTGCCCTAACACTCGCGACCAGGCCCAGTGGCCATCGTGAGAGTGCGCAGCATAGCCGCGAGGGACCTTTTCCCGACCGGCGTGTCAAAGCTCGCCATTGCCAGCTGCGACGTGCTCGCGGTTTTCCCCTTATTGTGAACGTCCGCGTGCGGGTGCCTTTGCTACCCGCGTCCCGGGAGCGGACGTTGTGCTGTTGTTCGGGGTGCCGCCAGAGGCAATAAAGTGTTGTGTACTGTTACATTAGAACACTGTCTAGTTGCCGCGCCGCGCTAAACGCCTTATCAGTTGAGCGCGCGCGGAGCGGTGCGCTGCACGCGAGTGAACGGAGTAGCAGCCCTGTGGCTCGCTAAGCGTGAACCCGCGGTGATCGTCCGCTGCAGTTAGGAGCGGGGTCACCATACGTCTCAGGCGGGGCTGCCATGAACAGGGGTTCGGCGACATGTGTAGGCGTTGTGACGAAGCTATGTTCAGGTGTTCCCCTTAGCACCTCGGCATGCGAGATCACTGGCTGCACCGGTAACGACGGTTGAGGCTGCCGCTCATAGACCACTTCAGCCAATGAGGAGACTGTTGTTACGTTGGTATTTAGCTGCTGCCTCTGGAGCTCTTCTCGAACTATTAACCGCACGAGTTCTCGCAAGACATCGATGCTGTTTCCGAATACTGTGTACACTCCTTCCGCAGATGCGGTGCTCACTTTTCAGTTGTACAGCCTTGCACGCTGCTGGGAGTCTTTTCCATAGTTGTCGTTGTCGCCTCGGAGCGAAATTTGGCGACAGTGCGTGGAGGGCTTTGAACAAAACCGGCAAAAAGCTCCTGCTTGATGCCATGCATCAGATGCCAAAGCTTCTTGTCCTCGCTCATGCTTGCATCAGCCCGGTGAAACAAGCGGGACATATCTTTGATGTACAATGCCACGCTTTCGTTGTTCTACTGGCTTTTCGCTTACAGAGCGGCCTCAGCTCTTTCCTTGTGGTCTGTACAAGGAAACATGGCCAGCAGCTCTTGGCAGAAATCATCTCATGACCGGAAAGCACGTTCATGGTTTTCGAACCATGTTCGTGCACTGTCTTCCAAAGCGAAATAAACACGGCGGAGCTTTCGGTCTTCAGGCCATCCATTGGAATTGGTAACCCACTCAAAACCCGCAAGCCCATGTTCAGCGTCTTCATACGTGTCCCCGTGGACAGGCTCGGGAATCCGCGGTTGATTAACAATGACGTGGGTTGCAGCAGCTAGGGGTGTCATTTCCATGATGCCAAAAACATCTAGTGCTTGCCCAGCGAGATCATACACAAGAGAGAATTCGGGTGGTTCACCACGGAGACGATGACTGGTATGCTGCTTGACAGGCCTGAGCTCATTGCGTTCCCGTCGACGTGGCTCTGGGCTTCCTTCTTCAACTGGATAGGGCTTGAGATCATTACCCAGCAGCTCCACGAAAATTGTAACAAACGATTAAGGTGGTCAGGAGAAACTATCTATTCTGTGTTCAATAGACAAACACAAGGCCAAAACCAAGAAGTAGTCTCTTCCTTGCTCGAGCGGCTCGGCACTCTATCTATGTTTATCCACTCCCATGGATCGATGACACCCTTGACAATATTGCGCTATTTCAGTATATTTCGGTATCATATTTTCGATCATTTGTTGTATAGTGTTGCTAGTTGTTAGAAAATTGATTATAGAGTATGACAAGTCCCCTTGTGACTTTTGAGACCTCTTGTTTCTTAATGACAGCATAATTAAATGGATGAAATCAATGTGAAGAGATTTCGTTTCATTGCCAATATATGCACACTACACTGCAGGGGCATTTTCGGTGCCCTATCACATTTCGTATGAAGACTCAATAGGTTACACTGTTTCACACATTGTGTGTTCTACTAACGAGTGAAAGTGTGCAAGAGCTGCTGACAGACGCAGCGATGAGAGCCGGAAGAGCAGATGACCCATACTTGTATCCACATGTTGTGCTATTGCAATGTTTGCATTTCATCCATGGGCACGAATCGCAGCAGTGGCTGTGTTCACTGAGAGGGAGCAAGCTGCTAGCCATACTCGGTTTAACCTTGCAACTTGAAGAGAAGCGGCCCTGCAACACTTATCCAAGTACTCATGAAATGAATCAAGTAAAAGAGCATATTGGCCCACGAATTCACTGCGCAAAAATTTTTAGAATCCGTCTAGTATAAGCGGAGTACCAAATATTTGTCGCACTCTGCGATTGCTTTTCCTCCTCTCTCATCTCGACCGCAGTGCTGTAAACTAAGCAGGGAGGGATGGCACAGGGGAAGAAAAATGCGTCAAGCATGCCTTGTGACCTTGATCACTTTTGTTTACCTGTCTGTGCATGTGAACGCATAGAATGATTGTGGCCTCCAACACGGGCCCCCATAACTCCCAAGAGCGCCATGCTTACATCAGCCAATCGCGATGGTTTGGCCAGTGACACAGCGACTTTTGAGCCCGTAGCATCATTTGTTGAGAGAAGAGAAAGCAATTTTCAGCTCACTTTGAGAACTTGAACAGAATGTGCACTATGCTATAATATTTGGCTTAGGAGTTCTCGAGAGTCTGGATTACCGATCGGCAGCATTTTCTGATCATGCTCAAAAAGTATTGCTGGGCCCCTTTAAGAGAACTTTTTGTTGGCCAAGTTGATGTACATTTATATTGATTTTAAGGCATGAAAAAAAAAAAAATGCGAACACAAGAGAGGACATGGGACAGAGCACTATTCCCAACGACTTTCCAACATGTTCCACTGCCCCACCTTTGTGATGAAGCTGTGTCTTTCAATAGTGAAGCTCCTAAAGCTTGAAGTAAAACATCGGGTGTCCGTCTGTGCCATTGCTTATCACTAACAAAGCCACAGTTTTGCGCACCACCCAGGTTTAACCTCGCCTGGCCACAAGCCAGACCCACAGACTGAGACTGCCTGTGCAGCCGCCCCGCTGAATTTTCCTAGCATGGTCGCAGCCGAGTGTGGGCAATGAAAGCTCCACACTTCTACCAGGAGTTCCAGAGTCAGCTTTGCACCTTCTGGCACTGGATGCTCTTTTATGGTCTGTGACAGGCTCTGGTTCCACTCTGCCTATACCAAGAAAAGACCTAACATCCACCAAGACGACCACCTTAAAGGGGAACTCCAGTGTATTTTCAACCGTAATCAGATAATGACATTTTCTCAAATAGTGTTGACAGTCCTGAAAAAGCTAGGCTGGTTCATTTCGCCCAGACACTCAACAGTTTTAACAAAGCAATAAATGACGAATCCAAACGAACTGATACAGGGAGCTGCTCCATACTTCGTGGCGGGTATCAGATGACGTCACGAAATTCGCTACACCCCGTCACCCTTGGCCAGGATGTAGACATAGCTCACGTGCCTCTTCTGACGAGCGAAAAGCAAGTTGGCGTGTCATCCAACATGGAATGAAGCTGTACTAGCTCGTATGAACTTACCAGTGACAAGTTCAGCAATGACTGCAGCTCCTATATGAGTGTGGAAGTAATGCCTCTCTATTTTGACCCACCAGAGCATGATGCATCTGATGTGCCTCGAATCGATCTCCTTGTTGCTCAATATTGTGCATATCTACCCCTGTATCGACACCACCTTGAATGCAGCCCAAACGCGTTATGAATGCGCTGCTTTAGGCGGTGCCATGGCAGCACAAATGCATTTCAAAAGCGTCACATCGAAGGTGGTGGCAAGTCAGGAAAAGTCGAAAGGAGTTTCTGTTAGTGTAATATCTGAAGTCAACGACGACTAACACGTTGTATGCAGCTAAATAACTGAACTGTGCTCACGTCATCTTGAAGAGGAAAGCGCATGCTGCATTTGTCTGCTGGGCAAGGTGAGTTCTTAAAATGTGTAGGCACTTACGTCACATACACTGGGTGGGCCACGTTGAATTGGCTACCAATTTTTAAAATTCGTTTTCTAGAAAAAACTAAATGACGGTTGTAAAATTTGGCACATATCACCATGGTACCAATGCGAACACGTTTTCAAAGTTTTATTGAAATCAGTGCATATGGAAATTGCCAGAGTTCCCCTTTAAACCCCTAAAATCACATGGCTAGTGTGAACATTTTATTTATTTTTTAATAAAAATGTGCAATCAATACTAGTGAGTCCAGTGTGACCAACTCACTGGGGATGGGCCGCAGGACATCAGGGATGAGAACATCCACCAGGTTCTGGTAAAACTGGTAGTCGGCATGCTGAACAAACTTCTGCACCGCCTCGCACTTGCTCAGCAGCCGCAGCTTGGACTGGCTCAGGCCTTTTTCTGGCTCCCTGCAGGTACAGGCCGCCACCTCAGATTCTTGCAAAATGTGGAGCAGCCATTCATATCGGCATCACCTCAGGTGACATGGAATCTTTTAAAAGGACACTGACACCATTTTTCGGAAGAGAGTTAACTCTGTTTATAAGTCTCCTGTATACAAAGGCATCTCTGAGCAAGTTTCACAAATGTCAATATTTATTCTGATATTTCATTTTGACACATTTCTCATGGTGCACCTGCCGTCGTCACGACTAGCTCGACGTCAGGCTGCAGTAGTACTAAGTCTCGTAACTTCACACAGCAGTCTGGCTAGTTGTGACGTCAGGCATCGAAACTTTCAAAATGGCCGTTCGTGCGTCAACAACGAAGCCAAGGTGCCGAGCGGCCATGGAAACGTCACAACAGCTTGTGCAAGAATGTGAGGAGAAGCTTGAGCCGTGTCGTGACATCAGGTTACAAACAGCAGCTAGCTTTGAAACACACTGAAATTGCTTTTTCAGGGTGAACTTACACTCAGCAGAAGATTTTCTAGGTTTTTGAGGCCTTTAGTTTATTCCAAGAAAACAAGAACTTGAAATTCTTGAGTCAATACTCCTTTTTAAGGGGACCAACAACCATCTTTTATGGTGCCTATTTTTTTAGCACGAAGGAAACGTTACCCTTGAGTGAGTGCAAAACGGGGCGAAACATTTGTAATCGGAGATTTTCTATCTGCAGCTGGAGTCGTATGCTCACATGCTGCAAACAGTGAGAGCATGGCAGTTCCTGTTCGTGTCGTGGTTTACTGCGAAATGATGGCACTCCACATGCATGCGCCATGGCTGGCAATTGCGACGATAGTGTCACTATTCCCCGTGCTACTCCTGTTTTGTCCAAAGCAGCACAAGATTGAGTGGGACTGAATAATAAATATACATATTCTAGTTTTGAGGACTTGCATGCACAACAGTTTCAGAGAACGTGGCCACGTTCCGCAAAGTGATCGACTCCATATTCTATAATCCAGCTTTAAGGCTCTTCTGTTAGGAGGTGCAACAAAACATTCTTTGACAATTCTAAGCATTATTCAAAGTGTGAAGGAGAAAGAGCATCGTTGGCAAGCAACATCGCCACCGCTTGGGTACTGGGTGCTGGGCTTCGCTCGCTCGGCTCGTGCTGATCATCGCCGGCATCTGCTTGACCGTTGCTCTGGCACGATCGTGTTTCTTCGTAGGGCCACCGTCGCAACAGTCGTCAATAAACCCTTTTTCAATTGGTGGAAGGTGCTGACATTCCCCGTCGCCTGAACCTGGGTGCTGCCATTCGCCGTCGCCTGAACCTGGAGCTGCGCAACCGAACGCTACCTCCCATCATGGCTACCAACAACGCGCAACCTGCCTCTTCCACTCCATCCCCCAGCAACCCCGGCGTTCTTCGTTTGCGAGAGCCCAAGGTCTTTAGCGGAGCTGATGAGACCGACGTGGAAGACTGGTTCGCTAACTATGAACTGGTGAGCGCAAACAACAAGTGGGATGACGCGGACAAATTGACTTACGCCATCTTTTACCTCACTGACGTGGCCGAAATGTGGTATAACAACCACAAAAACGACATCACGACGTGGTCCATCTTTAAAACCTTGTTTGCTGACGTTTTTGGCCGACCCGCAGTCCGCAAGTCCAGAGCCGAACAACGCTTGCGGACTCGCGCACAAAAGCCAACGGAATCTTTCACCAGCTACATTGAAGACGTCATTGGACTTTGCAACCGACTGAACACCACCATGCCCGAGTCGGAGAAGATTCAACACATCCTCAAAGGGATAAATGATGGTGCATATCAGCTGCTCCTCGCCCGTAATCCTGCCACCGTTGCGGAACTTGTTACTTTGTGTCAAAGTTTCGACGAGTTGAACAAGCAGCGCGCCCTGACTCGGCCATTTTCCTCACACGCCGACTCGCTCTCCAGTCTCACTTCCGTTCCCGACCACGCACCAACCCTGCAAGAGATTAAAGACTTCGTGCGTGAAGAAGTAGCTCGGCAACTGTCGTTGATTCCCTTCACGCAGCAGCCGCCGTCCTCTCGTCTGCCCTCACCACTCCGCGACGTTATTGCCGAAGAGGTAGCTCAGGCTGTTCCCGTCGCTGCCCACCAGCAGCCTGTGGCCGTGACTGTTCCCCATGCGCCGGCTATGCAGCCCGTGGCCGCGCCTCTTACTTATGCCCAGGTGGTACGCAGCAGACCCCGCCAGCAGCTTTTGCCACCCATGCCTGCAGTTGCTCCCCACTCTACCCCTCTTTCGACACCTTGGGCTGCACCGCGAGTCAGCAATTCCTGGCGCACTCCTGACAATCGACCGATCTGCTACGCCTGCGGTACACCAGGACACGTGGCACGATATTGTCGCCGTCGCTTCCAACCACTCCACGACGCTACTCGGCCGTTACCGCATGACCCACAGCCCATGCACATACCTGCTCCCTATCCCTCACCGCAGTATGGATACACTAACTTTCCTGAGTCTCGGTCGCACCAACCTCAAACTCACTCTCCCCGCTCCCCATCTCCTCGCAGGCGATCACTGTCCCCAATGCGTCCTAGACCCGCTTCCTCCAACCGGGAAAACTGAACGCCGCAGTTCCAGAGGCAAGAACTGCGCCGTCGTCGAAATGTTCAAGTCCTCGCACTTCACCAGCTAACGTCGTCGCTATATCTGTCGATGGTGTTTCTACCTTTGCCCTCGTTGACACAGGTGCTGCCGTTTCTGTTATAGCCGACCAGCTCTGCCGCTCCCTACGCAAAGTGACCATGCCGCTCTCTGGACTATCGCTTCGTACAGCTAGCGCACAACAAGTTCGACCTCTTGGCACCTGTACGGCCCGCATATTCATCCAAGGCTCTATGTACGTTGTCGAGTTCATCGTCCTTTCGGTGTGCTCGCATGACGTTATCCTCGGGTGGGACTTTCTGTCAAATCATCATGCCATCATCGACTGCGCACGCGCTGAAGTTCAATTTTCGCACCTGTGTGACGAACCTTTGCACGAAACCCTTGAGCGGTCGCCAAAACTTGTCGTGCGTGAGGACACTGAAATTCCGCCAGCCTCTCTTGCCGTTGTCCCGGTTTGCTGCGATGACTATAACGATGCTACCGTAATGTTTACACCTTCCGACATTTTCATGAGCCGCAGAACCGTTTCCTTGCCTTTCGCTACACTCGACGTCACTGCGGGCCGAAGCAATATTTTCGTCCACAACCCCCTTTCTGCACCGCTTACGCTACTTGCCGGCGAATGTCTCGGTCGAGTGGAGTACCTCGATTCCTCTTTATTCCTTAACATGCCAGACGAATCGTGCAGTAGCGCCTCGACCGAACTTCATGCCCTTTCCCCACTGGAGTGCTCATCGAGTGACACCTTCTCGAGTTCCATCGCCGACACCTTAAGTGCCCATGAACGCGCCGAGCTTCTTAATCTCCTCCAGCACTTCGCGAATTCATTCGACGTTTCTCAGCCGCAATTGGGTCGGACTTCCGCAGTGCACCACTACATTGACACCGGTTCGCACCAGCCATTGCGTCAAAGACCGTACCGTGTCTCTGCTGCAGAACGTCACGTCATCAACGACCAGGTCGAAGAGATGCTACGCCGTCGCGTTATTCGACCATCGCACAGTCCTTGGGCATCTCCTGTCGTTCTAGTTCGAAAAAAAGATGGATCGATTCGATTTTGCGTCGACTACCGGCGATTAAACAAGGTGACGCGGAAAGACGTCTATCCATTACCGCGCATAGACGACGCCCTTGACAGCCTACAAGGAGCCGAATTCTTCTCCTCCTTAGACTTACGATCTGGATACTGGCAGGTTCCTATGGCAGAAGCTGATCGCCAGAAAACTGCGTTCATTACACCAGATGGCCTGTACGAATTTAACGTAATGCCATTTGGTCTTTGTAATGCTCCTGCCACGTTTGAACGGCTCATGGACAACACACTGCGTGGACTGAAGTGGTCTGTGTGTCTATGCTACCTCGACGACATTGTCGTTTTCTCTCCCGATTTTCCTACGCATCTGCTTCGGCTCCAACTGGTTCTGACGTGTTTAACCAACGCTGGGCTCCAACTGAACCTTAAAAAGTGCCGCTTCGCCGCGCGAGAGCTGTCCATCTTAGGGCACATCGTCTCCAAGCATGGTGTTCGACCCGACCCTGCAAAACTGCGAGCAGTCGCTGAGTTCCCGAAACCTACTACACTGAAAGAATTACGCAGTTTTGTCGGACTATGTTCGTACTTCCGGCGCTTTGTGCGAAATTTTGCATCGATCATGTCACCACTGACCAACCTCCTACGCGGTGATGCAGACCTTTCATCCTGGTCATCTGACTGCGACGTCGCGTTTGCCACGCTCCGTAGTCTGCTAACATCTCCTCCAATTCTTCGGCATTTCGACCCAACAGCTGCAACGGAAGTTCACACAGACGCTAGTGGGGTTGGTCTAGGCGCCGTCCTCGCCCAACGCAAGCCGGGCTACTCCGAATACGTCGTCGCTTATGCGAGTCGCACACTTACTAAAGCTGAAGCCAATTACAGCGTCACTGAAAAAGAGTGCTTGGCGCTAGTGTGGGCGCTTCGCAAGTTCCGCCCTTATTTGTACGGTCGCCCATTCGACCTGGTAACGGACCACCATGCACTTTGTTGGCTCGCCACATTGAAAGACCCTTCTGGCCGCCTAGCTCGGTGGGCACTGCAAATCCAGGAGTACGACATTCGTGTCATCTATCGCAGCGGACGCAAGCATTCTGACGCCGACGCCCTGTCGCGTTCGCCTTTACCTCCCGACTCGGCCTGCGGAACCACTGGTATCTCCATCGCATCTCTCGACCTCGACTCTTTTACCAGTGAACAACACAAGGACCCGTGGATCGCTTCTCTTTTTAACTGTCTTTCTGGATCGTCAACCACTGCGGTACCACGATCTCTCCGACGTCAAGCTGCTCATTTCGCCATTCGTGATCGGCTACTACACCGACGCAACTACGCCCCCGAAGGTCGTAAGTGGCTCTTGGTTGTCCCGCGCAGCTTGCGATCACAAATCTGCGCCTCCTTTCACGACGATCCCCAATGTGGTCATGCCGTAGTTTTCAATACTTACGAACGCATTCGCCATCGCTTCTACTGGCGCGGAATGTATAATTTCGTTCGAAAATTCGTTATGGGCTGTCCTGACTGTCAACGTCGCAAATCACCGCCTTTCCACTCGTCCGGTGCGCTTCAACCGCTTCCGTGCCCTGCCAAACCTTTCGATCGGATCGGAATTGATCTCTATGGCCCTCTACCGACAACATCAGATGAAAATCGGTGGATTATAGTCGCTGTGGACCATTTAACACGCTACGCTGAGACCGCCGCCCTTCCAAGTGCCACTGCGCGGGACGTAGCATCCTTCATCCTTCATCGCTTCATATTACGACATGGTGCACCTCGAGAACTACTAAGCGATCGAGGTCGAGCCTTCCTATCAGAAGTCGTCACGTCTCTGCTTTCTGAATGCCATGTTGTTCATCGCAAGACCACGGCATACCACCCGCAGACTAACGGGCTCACGGAAAGATTTAACCGCACCCTTGGCGATATGCTCGCCATGTATGTGACATCCGATCATACTAACTGGGATCGCATTCTTCCATTCATTACGTTCGCATATAACACCGCGGCACAGTCTACCACTGGATTTTCACCTTTCTTTCTTCTTTATGGACGCGAACCATCCCACACCATCGATACTCTCCTTCCATACCGTCCTGACGCATCCGAATGCCCATCTGTGTCCGAAGCTGCCCGAAATGCGGAAGAGTGCCGTGAACTCGCACGCACCTTTACGTCTCGAGAACAACAGCGCCAGAAAGAAAACAACGTCGACTCTTCACAAAGCCCCAGCTATTCCCCGGGATCACTTGTATGGCTGGCTGTTCCTTACCAAACCCCCGGCATTTCCTCAAAACTCGTTCCAAAGTACGAGGGCCCATACCGCGTTTTGGAGCAAACCTCGCCGGTGAATTTTCTCATCGAGCCACTTTCCCCATCTGTCGACATGCGCCGGCGTGGACGTGACATCGTCCACGTCGCCCGCCTTAAGCCATATTATAGCCCTCTGCCTCCAGACTCTTAGGTCGCCAGGATAGCTCTTTTTCGGCGGGGGCAAATTGTGAAGGAGAAAGAGCGTCGTTGGCAAGCAACATCGCCACCGCTTGGGTACTGGGTGCTGGGCTTCGCTCGCTCGGCTCGTGCTGATCATCGCCGGCATCTGCTTGACCGTTGCTCTGGCACGATCGTGTTTCTTCGTAGGGCCACCGTCGCAACAGTCGTCAATAAACCCTTTTTCAAAAGATATAAATCCTAGTCACAACTTGAAAAGAATGCAGAAAAATGTTACTAGCTGTGTAAAACATCGTTGGCGCAAACTCGAAAAAAAAAAACAAAAAAAAAACAAGGAAGAGACACGGAAAAGCGCACACTCGCAACTGACTTTCATTAAACCAAAGCTCGTCTTATGAAACCTTCACTCATGCGTACAACCACACAAAAGCCCAAACAACTATCATCACAATCTATCAGATAGAAAAGCATATTCATTATCATACAACAACAGCGACGAAACACTGATACATTGTTCAACAAATTTCCTAATATTTATTTCAGAAGTACTGCCATAAATATTAGGCAATTTGTTGAACAATATATCAGTGTTCTATCACTGTTATGTTTATACATCACATCTGCCAATTCACGTGCCACTTTGTCTTTGCTTCTTCGCAAGATTCTCATGCAAAGCAGAAGCGGTTCATACGAGCACTCCTTACAATGATACGGCGAATGCGAACCCATGCCGCTTCTCACTGACAGTGCATGTTCCCTTAAGCGATCATTTATACATCAGCCCGACTGGCGAATGTACACCTTGCCACAACTGAGCAGGATCAAGTAGACAACACCTACCAAACAATCCAAAAACTTTCTTTCGTGCTTCTTTACACAATCAGCAGTTGGTGCGCCACACGAACGTTTCTACTATCGAATTTGCGCCAACGATGTTTTACACTGCCTGGAAAATTTATTTTCTTTTATTTGTTTACCTCTGGAAGTTCCTTGCAGAAGAAATCCCACCAACGAGTATGTTTTTTCTGTCTCATGTATGAGCACAACTGGCGCCTCCAGTCACAACTATGAACACTTTCGCTGTCCAGTGACATATCATGGACAGCATTGGTTGGAGCAATGACTTGTCATCTTTTCGCTTTGAATGTTTTTTTAACACCAAAGTGTTTTATGTCGGGGTCTACCACGAATCTGCCAACGTATCTCTGTCAAGGATATGATGTAAAATATTTACTCACAAACTGCAAAGAAGAAGACGAGAAGGAAAAGTTCTGCAGTGGGGCATCGAACCAGCGACCTCATGTTCCTCAGTGAGCGATGCTAACCCTTATGCCACAAAGCGAAACTTCTCTAACGTGTTAACTGCAAGCTATACGCCATGTGCTAGTACTGGTGGTCCTCAGACTTGAGCATGTTTTCGTCATCAGTAGCCAGGTGGCACGCACGATGGCTGCATGTTCAAGGTGTGCACGCTGTAAAGGTCGTCATGCCACAACAACTTGCACGTCGCTATCTGTGTGCACCTCCACATGCTTAATGACATGCTTTGGCCGCAAATAACACAAGTAGAAGTAAAGGAACACACAACGACAAGCACGAGCGGCTTGTGCTTGTCGTTGTGTGTTTCTTTACTTGTGTTTGTGTTATTTGCGGCCAAAGCATGTTATTAAACAAGTACCAATTAGGCCAACAATCAGTATTGTTACCTCCACACGGCGTGGCCACTCACTCGTGTGCGCTTATCTTGGGATTCGGGCACTTCCTACCTCTTGGACTTTACACACAAGTTTTCTTTGAAGTTACAGTATTCGCTCACTGACGTAGTTACGTTTATGAAAGGAGCGTGCTGGTAAGACATGAAGATGTAAGAATTGTGACAATTGTTCACGGCTGTCCAGTGTATACCTGTGTGTTTGTTTCGTCGGTCTTTCTGTCTGAGCAGCGTGCTTTAGGTGTTGAGCTGTGACAGTTGGTTGTCCACGCTAGCCCTGTGTATGCTCATTCCAGGCGTGCTTTTTTATTGAGGTGTGCACTGCAAGTGTTGAGCTGCTTGCCGTTCTTCACGTGACATTGCAGTTTATTACTGTAGCATTCATTTCTCTGCCCTTGTGGTGAATCAATGTGCAATGAAAGCTCAACTATCTCTGCGAGTAAAGGTTTCACTTTCGTGTTATATCGATACTTAAAAACAAAGATCAGCTACAATTTTTGTTGCTTTTTTTATGCTCATTACCCGCCCTGAATAGAGGTTGACAAAAAGTGCTGTATAACATCAGCCTATGAACTCAACATACCTGCAGTCATTGCTTCCCCACAGGTCTTGCCAGAGGGATTCCACGGTGGAAAAGTGCAGGTTCATCACAGCCTCCAGGAAGGCCTGAAAAACAAGTCGAGTAAAGCCTGTGCCACACCGAACCCTCCACGGCCAAGCCACTAAATGAAGCATGTTTTCAAAGGGGCCCCGCGACATAGTTTCAGCATGTTTTTCTCATAGATTCTTCTAATGCTAGGGAATGCGCGAATATCGTTGCGCAAGTGGCAACAGCAAAAGCTGGTATAATTTTAATTAACGTGATAAGCTACTTTGACTTTGAACTACGGCAACACTCATCAGCCATTTTTGTTATGGGAAGAGACGTCATGCAATGTAACCGTTCGCTTTTTATTGGCCTGACGTGACAAGTAGCGTGTAATATTCATATGGTGGTAGCTAAGCTATACAAGTGAATTTCCATTTGAACTTTATTCACACAGTCATTGTCTGGGATGAAGGGGCAGATACGACTGCCTGACAAAGGCCCCCTACCCGATACTTTGCTCAGGGGTGGAACACTGGGGAGCATGGGCTAACATAGGTAACAATATATGGTCAAAACACAGCATACAGGCAATCAGAACACAATAAGTAAAATAGCTATATTCAGTACACAACGGTAATAACACCTGTATGAAATCGTTTATACGAGCCCTGATGATCAATGATACAGGTAACAGGGTAAAAAGAGCAGATTGCAATTGCACAATATAAAGAAAGGATCAAGAGGTAATCTTTGGAGCTAATCAAAAGGTAATATAACTTTTTTCGGAGGTGGTATGTCAAATAGTTGGCCTGATCACATCGGCGATTTCTCGGTTGTTATTAAGAAAATGTGGCATTAGGTACGACAGAGTTTAAGTACCCTATGTAGTACGAAACATAGGTGTTCCGAGTCGATTGTGCCTAAGGTCATGTTGACAATGGACAGATGATGATGATGGGGACAGGATTCCGGAGTCACGTGAAATTTGTCTATGTATACGCATAGCGAGCTTTAGCTTGAATAGCTAGTCAATTCTTACTACTATATGGAGCTTGTGAAAATATTGCGCTGTGGGGTCATTTCATTTCAGATTTTCGATACAACGAACAGCTATTTTTTGTAAAATAATAATCTATCCAAATTTGTTTCAGTAGTAGTCCTCCTGATTAGGAGACTGTACTGCAGATGAGAGTGAACAAGGACATAATATAACTGCAATTTCAACCATTTAGGTACCAAGAAGCTAACGATATACATTATTGAGATTAACCTGAACATGGTTGCATGGATCTTGTTTACATGAGGTATCCAGCTCATAGTTTCTTAAAAAACAACACCTAGAAATTTATAACTAGGAATCCGTTTTATAGCACAGTTTTAAAATTTTATGCAGATATTAAGGACGTCAGGTTTATTATGGCTATTGAAAATAATTAATTTAGTTTGTTTTTTTCAGGTTAAGTTGAACTTGGTTTAGATACAGTCAATGTGACAGTTCGGTTAGCCATCTATTAGCTGCATTTTGAAATTCAAGTAGATGTTTACCTGAAAAAAATGTACTCGTGTCGTTCGCGGTACGTTCACGATGTCATTTATGAAAAAATGAAGAATAAAGGTCCCAGAATTGAACATTGTGGAACACCATATTTTACTGTTTGAGATTGAGAACAGTAGTCATTTAGACTAATGAATTGTACCCTGTCGGATAAATAACAGCGTATCAAATTTAGTACGATGAAATGCTTTGTGGAATCAAATGCCTTTTTGAAGTCTACAAATATTGCAAGAGTATATTGTTTATTATCAATGTTACTAAGTAATTTTTTCTTTAATATCCAAGAGTGCCATTTCGGCTGATTTCGTTTCGGGAAAACAAATTATTGCCTTGCAAGCATTTTATGATCACCGAGAAACCTCATTAGCCACCACTTTATTGTGTATTCTAGAACTTTAGAAAATAAAGGTAGCCCAAAAATAGCTTGGTAGTTACTCAAATCATCGTGACAGCCACCTTTGTGGATGACTACAACCTTAGCTATCTTCATAGCATTGGTAAAAGTACCAGAGGCAAAAGCTTGATTGCAGATATGCTGCAGTGGGCCACGCAGTAATTCAGAGACATGTTTAACTAGGTCAACTTTAATGTCATTACAGCGAATTGCGGAGGTATTTTTATTTAGTTACCTTAGGAACACATTTTAGGCATTAGGTATTTCTAATGGACTACAAGTAATGAGGAAAATAGAGTTCGCAGAGGAAGAAGAAATGTATTTTTTGCAGTCGATTATTGCGTCACTTGTCTGAGCTGCTGCGCCTGAAGTTAAGAAATGATTATTGAATTTATCCGTTGGGCTAGCTTCGCTGAACTCAACACCGTCAATGGTTAGTTCTGAAGTAAGGCAATCTTTTCGTGTTCCCATGAATGAATGAAGCAAGTCCCATGCTTTTCTAGGATTGAAAGAGATCTCTGCAAATCATGCCTGATAATACTGAATACGGGCTCTTTCAAATCAGAGTTTAATTTGTTGCGGACTTTTTTGTATTTATCAAAAATAGATATGTATCTTATTCTAATGAAGTTATGGTATAGTTTATCTTGTTTTCTGATTCTGTTGTAAAGGCCTCTGTTAATCTATGGTTTCCTAGACTTTCCATGCTTTTTGTAGTATTGTAGTGGGAAGGCAGCATCATAACAACTCTTGACACGTTGCAGGAATAAATCATATAATTTATTAGGGCGTTGCTCATTGTAAACACTATCCCAGTTTAGTGTGAATGCTAAAAGCAATAAAAACCCTGTTTTGCAGTTTCTCAAAAAGAAGTAACTAGTTTCTAAACGATGCAATTTTACAACAACAAACACGACACTTAGCAAACTCTGCTATGGCACAGCAGCAGTTTAGTGTAAAAACGCATGCAAGACTTCTACGTGAGAGAGAGGTGAAGAAGAAGGCCGGGAGGTTAACTAGATATCAGCATCCACTTTGCTACCTAGCATAAAGATAGAGTCTTAAAGTATATGAGAAACGAAAATCTCCCTCTGTTTCCAGGCCCCGTAAACCACCTCCAACATTTTGTCAAACATTTCAAATAAACATGCGTATCGTGTGCAGAATGTCATTGCAATCAACGATTCTACACGTGGCAACGCTATGAGCTGCCGGTGTGCCACAAATACCAAAAAACAATCCCTCCTTCTTTCCAGGGTTTTCGGGTCTCTGCCTGATGCGCCATTCCACATCTCTGACGCGCTGAGCTAAATATGCTGTGATTAGTCGAGCAAAAGCCTACAACTGCCGATTAGTCTGCAAGCAGCTGTCCCCCCTGCTTGTTGTTGTTCGTCGGGCTGCCCGCGTACGTGCGCCTCATCTCGTGCGGTGGTTGTATGGCACAGCATGTCCCTGTATGGGTCAGTCCATCGCGTTGGCAATCCTTTGAAAGCGTGCGCGCAACACAGGGTCCATACCGGCCCGATTATGGCAGGCACGGTTCGCCAACAAGCACACAGCAACGATGCAACAGACGGTTTGACGGCCGGAGGCACGGCAACTGAAAGTAGACGGTGCTTCAAGCAGCGCGTCAGTGATGACGTATGCCACGCAAGATTGCGAGAGGCATGAGAGGGGCACTCGGCAAGAGGGCAAAGCGGTTTGGGTGAAGATACCAGCGGAGTGAGGCGCAGTAGAAAGCAACATGAGTTATCATTGCGGTTTCGAAAATCAAACGCGCCTGTCACAGATGACACGAAAAAAAGAAAAAGAAAAAGAAGAAAGATGCACGGCACGCAAATAAGAAAGAAATTGGACACAAAAAGAAGAGTGCGCCGGTGCACAAGAGATTGGAGGAGTGCGTGCACGGATGAAGCTTGGCGTGGACAACGGGGAAGATGGGATATGTTCAAGGCGGCCTGGGTCCTGCCCCAGGACTGCAACGTGTCGGTAGTCGCCCGAATTTGTACCTCGGCAAGCTACCATCTTCGTGGCTCCAGCCGTCCAGCTGGTGGGCGGTGCAGAGAACGGCTGGGACTTGTCAGCGTCACGCCACCGATCTTCAGCGCACCCAAGCTTGTGGACACCCATCTGCCCCTTCAATGGCGCACGGAGCTGGAACGTGCCCCTGGAACGTGCCTGGAGTACCTGCCAGCACTAGTTCGACCACTGCGTGAGAACAATGTTCTCACACTTCGGAGCGCTTGTGGTGGGCCTTTCCAGTTCAGCAGGAACAACTAACACGGACGCACGCGGTGAGCTACGCTCGGGTGTCGGCGCCACTGATATTTGTGGAAAGCTCCTGACATTCTACATCCTGTTCCTCCAAGAGACGTTAACCACTGAATGTGAATATAGGGAAGTGTTAACTGTTGTGTTTTGGGAGACCGAATTGGTTCTAGAGATTGTTAGTCTTTAGTGTGTACTCTATGTGTTTGAGTGTGTAATGAAAGGTGTTTTCGTGCCGCAGCTCGTGTCCCCTTCATGCATCACTCAAACAAACTAAGCCAGGCGACATTATAACGTGACAATATGGTGAGCCTGCCCGGGATTCATTATTTTCGTCATGCGCCCTGGACTGTCTTGAGCAGCGGGATGGACCTTGAACGGTTGTTAGTGGCTGGACATGCCGGGGGTTTACCGTAATTACTCGAATCTAACGCGCACCTTTTTTCCGGTTAAGCGAGTTCATAAATCGCATGCGCGTTAGAATCGAGTACGAACAAAAAAATTATGGTCAATCTATTGCCATCCGCAAATCCGAAATGGCCGCCCCCTACGTGCGTCGGCATGGCGCGTCGGCCATTTCTGCCTATGTGCTTCCCATGTGCGGCACTTCGTACGTGTGCTGAGGAGTTCGTCATCTAGTAGTGCACTAGCATCGACGGCGTGGAAGGGCCGACTCCAAAAACTCGAGTGCATCACGATGCCGCTTTTAAAAGAAAAGTCATCGCGTGTGCAGAAACGGACGGAAATCGGGCCGCATCGCGGTCGTTCGGAGTTCCCGAAACGTGCGTGCGGGACCAGCGGAAACAAAAGCAGAAGATTGTCGACAGCAAAGCTTCACGCAAAGGCTTCAGTGGATCGCA